TTTCCACAGTGGTTGTATTATTTTGTAGTCCCACCAGCAGTGTATGAGAGTCCCAATCTCTCCTCATACTCGCCAGCATTTGTTATTTTGTCTTGTTGAACTTTTCTACTAGTGCTGGGGCAGGATAATATCTCATTGTTTTGATTTGCATCTCTCTAAGGAGCTCTGGTAGCGTAGTGCCTAAGGCACTTGACTGCTAATCAGAAGGCTGGCGGTTCAAACCCACCAGTCACTCCTCGGAAGGAAGATGAGGCAATCTATTTCCGTAGTGATACTGCCTCGAAAACCCAGTGAGGGGTTGCTATAGTCGGGTCTGACTCAACGGCGCATAACAACAAACAACAACAATGGCTAATGATCGTGAGCATTTTTTCATATGTTTGTTGGCCAGCTGAATATCCTCTTTGGTGGAGTGTCTGTTCATGTCTTCTGCCCATTTTTTAATTGGATTATTTATCTTTTTGTTGTTGAGATGTTGCTATTTTCTATAAATTCTAGAGATAAGTCCCTTGTCAGATACGTCATTGCCAAATACTTTTTCCCAAACTGTAGGTTCTCTTTTGACTCTTTTGAAGATGTCTTTGGAAGCACATAAAAATTTAATTTTTAGAAGGTCCCGTTCATCTAGTTTCTATTCTGCTATTTCTGCATTTTGGGTTATGCTTGATAGTCTATTTATGCTATATGTTAGGGCCCCTAAATTTGCCTCTTGTTTTTCCTTGAGGAACTTTATAGTCTTAGGTTTCACATTTAAGTCTTTGATCCATCTGGAGGTAGTTTTTGTGTATGGTGTGAGGTATGGATCTTGTTTCATTTTTCTGCAAATGGATATCCAGTTTTGCCACCACCATTCATTAAACAGACAGTCTCCTCCCTGTTTAATGGATTTTGGCCCTTTGTCAAAGATCAGTTGACCATAGGTTGATGGATCTATTTCTGGGTTCTCAATTCTATTCCATTGGTCTGTGTGTCTGTCATTGTACCAATAGCAGGCAGTTTTGACTACTGTGGCTGTATAGTAGGTTTTGAGATCCAGCAATGTGAGACCTCCTACTTTGTTCTTCTTCTTCTGTAGTGCTTTGCTTATCCGAGGTCTCTTTCCTTTCCATATAAAGCTAGTGATTGGTTATTCCATATCCCTAAAGAATGTTGATGGGATTTGGATTGGGATTGCATAGAATGTATAGGTTGATTTGGGTAGAATTGACGTTTTTACAATGTTCAATCTTGTTATCCAGAAACATGGCATATTCTTCCATTTATGTAGATCTCTTTATCATTTCTTGAAGTAGTCTTTTAGTTTTCTTTGTACAGGTCTTTTGTGTTCCTGGTAAGATTTATTCCCAAGTATTTTATATTTTTGGTAACTATTGTAAATGGCGGGAGCTCTGGTGGCATAGTGCCTAAGGCATTTGACTGCTAACCAGAAGCCTGGTGGTTCAAACCCACCAGCCACTCTTCGGAAGGAAGATTGGA